ACACATGGCTGTCAAATGTATCTATGCAGTTGCTAGGCTCTTTCTGTTTTCTGCTGTCTCTCCTGCCCATATTTTGCAAAACAACAAACTGAGGTTGCTATGAATACGCAACAGGAGTTCAAGGGAAGAGTGTCAGGCCTTAGAAACACACACACACACATACAATGAGCTAGAAACTGCCTCTTTCAGAAAGTAGTTTTAGAAGATTACATCCAAAGAAGAAAGAAAAAATTGACCTAAGCTCTAAATGAAGAGGCCTAAAGGCCCTACAGGCACCAGATTTCATCTGATTTTAGAAACTAACTTGGATGGAGCCCACCAACATATACCAGTTGCTAATTAACTTATGGCAATCTCATGGATTTCATAGATGGTTTGGTCCATTACTTCTTCTGAAATATAACCTTTGGCATCTGTTATTCATCTATGGTCTCCCATCCAAGTGCTAACCTGGGCTGAAGCTACTTAACTTCCAAGGGCATTTCGTGTATTTAGGGCCCTTTAATTAAAATTCAGACCAATTATTTCCTTTTTTGATGAAAGTATCTGAAACTACCTTCAAAACCAAGTTATGTAGCTGCTTAACAACCATGGAATCAGTACTATGGACAGCTCAAACAGAAATCTAATGCCAAATCCTAACTCAGATGTGAGTTTAATGGCTTAGTGCTCTTGGAAGTTTCCCACATATTTGTCTCTGCTTGTAACAGGACATTGGGCTATTTGTATTCCCTTCACATCCTAGTTTTGTGAGATAAGGCTGTCAGTTAGCTACTAGTCATGATGACAAAATGTCAACTACTTATTTAGAAGTAGCATGGGTACCAACAATAGGACAGGGCTATTGTTTTTTGGTGAGATTTGGACTTCCTCATCTACAAGTAAAAAAAAACATATTGAACTACACACAGATTTATCTTTTTCATCACAATTTAAATGGTGAAATATAAAATTCAAAGATTTTTTTTTTTGAGTTGTCAAAGGCTTTCATGGCCAGAATCACTGAGTTGTAGGTTTTTTGGGCTGTATGGCCATGCTCTAGAAGTATTCCCTTCTGATGTTTCACCTGCATCTATGGCAGGCATCCTCAGAGGTTGTGAGGTCTGTTGGAAACTAGGAAAATTGGGTTTATATATCTGTGGAAAGTCCATAGTGGGAGAAAGAACTCTTGTCTGTTGGAGGTAGGCATGAATGTTTCAATTGGCCACCTTGATTAGCATTTGATGGCCTAGTGATTAGCTGTCCCTGATTGTTTCTTGTCTGGAGTTCCCCTGTGTTTGAGTGTTGTTTTTTATTTACTGTTATAATTTTAGAGTTTTTTAATACTGGTAGCCAGATTTTGTGCATTTTCATGTTTTCTTCCTTTCTGTTGAAATTGTCCACACGCTTGCGGATTTCAGTGACTTCTCTGTGTAGTCTGACATGGTAGTTGTCAGAGTGGTCCAACATTTCTGTATTCTCAAATAATATGCTATGTCCAGGTTGGTTCATCTGGTGCTCTGCTATGGCTGACTTCTCTGGTTGAAGTAGTCTGCAGTGCCTTTCATGTTCCTTGATTCGTGTTTGGGTAATGCTGCATTTGGTGGTCCCTATGTAGACTTTTCCACAGCTGCACGGTATATGGTAGACTCTTGCAGAAGTGAGAGGATCCCTCTTGTCCTTTGTTGAATGTAGCATTTGTTGGATTTTCTTGGTGGGTCTGTAGATAATTTGTAGGTTGTGTTTCCTCATCAGCTTCCCTATGCGGTCAGTGGTTTCTTTGATGTATGGCAAGAACACTTTTCCTATTTCTCCCACCCTGGACTTTCCACATATATATAAACCCAATTTTCCTAGTTTCCAACAGACCTCACAACTTCTGAGGATGTCTGCAATAGATGCAGGTGAAACATCAGGAGGGAATACTTCTAAAACATGGCCATACAGCCTGAAAAACCTACAACAACCCAGAGAACCTTTTGTTGCTGTTGTGTGCCTTCAAAGTATTACCAACTTACAGCAATTCTAGGAGGACCCTATCATGGGACTTTCTGTGGCTCTGAGTACATGACATGCCCAAGGGCATCTAGGGGGTTTTCATGACTGAGCAGGGATTCAAACCCTGTTCTCAAGAGTCACAGAACAACAATCAAACACTATGCCAAAAACATTAGCTCATTACCAAATTACAGATTCCAGTGCTTACACTACAGCCATGACAGTTAAAGTAGTATGAAATGAAATTAATGGTGTCATTTAGATATATCCCTTTCCTATTTGCATAGAAAACCAGTAGTCAATTCACATGATGCTATTATAGCAATTTCAATCCATTTTTACTGCCATTCTTGCAGTTTAGAGACTCTTGAGATTTGCAATTTGGAGAGGCACCAGAACTCTGGCAGAGGATTTTAATAGATTGTGAAATTACACAACCCATACACTTCACACCAGAAAAGGTTTTTTTAAAAAACAGGAAGTGAACTAGAAGTGACTTAGAGGGCACTTTCTAATACAAAAAGAAAAGGGGGGGGGGGCATTCTCCTGATCCTAAATTTGCTTAGTAGCTAAAAGCACAGCAAGAATGGCCACATTTAGGTGGAATTGTGAGCAAAAATTGACCCATCTACCCACCCACCCCCTTTGCAGATGGGAAGGATGCAACATACCATGGTTGCCTAGGTGGCCAATACTGACAGTAAAACACCTCTCTTCCAGAGCACTGCTTCATAAGGTGTGGATGCCAAACCCAAATGGGATCCCCTTTGCTCAGTGTTGGGTTCACAAAAACTCTGGCAAGAATTAAAGGTTTCTGAATGCCACCCATTTACACCAATCTGTTAACAACAATGTATAGTGTTTACAGTGGACTTTGCAGAAAATTCTACAGTCTATTTAGCAAATTATACAAATGCTGATTATCAGTAAATTTTGATTTTGTACCTAATTTCATATACCTCTATACCCAAGGTCAGGTAAAAAATTCTTGGGCAGAAAGAGATAATAAGTGTAAACAATTTAAGAAGCTCAATTCTAGAGCATCCCACAACCTAAACAGGAGCTCTCAGGAGGCACAGAATTCTTCAGGAGGGAATAAGCACTGCAACACAAATGAAACTCTGCTAGTCTCAGGTTTTGATTGCACCCTTAACTCATTTGTGAGCTTCTCAATGCTACTAGGAGAAACAGTAAGATTATTTGGACATGAACTGTCACCCGGTTGGTTAATTCACGGGGAAAATGCTTCTGTTTCCCACTCCTGAGTAAATGTGGACACCTATTCTGCTCTTAGAATATTACTCAACAATGTAAGACAAGTGCATCTAGATCAGGGCAACCTAGCATGCATAACTGTGTACCAACACATTGTACCAACACCAGGGCCATGGTGGCACAGTGGGTTAAGCTGCAGAACTTGCTGACCAGGTCGGCGGTTTGAATCTGTGGGATGGGGTGAGCTCCTGCTGTTAGCCCCCCAACTTCTGCCAACCTAGCAGTTCGAAAACATGTAAATGCAATGTAGATCAATAGGCACTGCTTTCTTGGGAAGGTAATGACACTATATGCAGTCATGGTGGCCACATGACCTTGGAGGGGTCTACGGACAACGCTGGATCTTCAGCTTAGAAATGAAGATGAGCAGCACATCCCAGAGTCAACTTGACTAGACTTAATGTCAAGGGAAAACTTTATCTTTACCTTTAACTGTGCACCTCTGCTTGTCTTCAAATACTGCTCCCAGCATCCTTTAACTGTTGGCTGTGCTACATATAGCAGGGCTTTATCAGTGGTAGCCCTCCAGTTATGCAATTCCATTTTAATAATTGACATGCTGGCTTTTGTCTTTCAATCCCTTTTAGGTACACTTGCATTTCTACAGGTGCTTAAGGAATGAGCAATTGTTGAATGTCTTTTACTGTAGCTCATTTGTATTTTTGTTTCCATTTTGGCAACATTTCATCTTGAGATTCAAAAGATTTGTAACTTCCAATGTGTTCTTTGTGATTTTTCGATATTTGTAATGTGTGATTTTAACAGTGTGTTTTTACCTAGACTGTTGGCTAACCTGAGTCCTTACAAGAAAGGGCAAGCTATACATTGAATGCATATTAAATTGTAGGTGACAGGGACTGAATTTACATCTACAGCACATAAAGCACATGTGTTGCTACCCATTTGCTTAAGAGCCATGTATGACACACTTTTATTACTGTTATCAGCTGAACTTGTGACATAGCTCTACTGAGAAACTTCACAACTTAAGGTGTCCACCTCCCTTGCTGGAAAGGCCATGGTGGTTTCACACATCCGTGTCATCATTGCTGAAGGTGATTGTGGAAACTCATCCAAATAAGAAAAAGAGCCAAACACATTCTTTAATAAACTTCTGCTCCTTCCAGTGTTGCCTGATTCATCTTTCACACAGTTTTATTTGGGTTCGCAGGAGGCTCTGTGTTGCTATGCGCTTTTTTCTCACCACCTCCACAGCTGACAACTTTGGAAGAACAAATTTATGCCATGACAAAAGGGCACCAAATGGTCTGCAAACGCTTTACTACTGACAATCTGAAAACAAAGGGTGCAAAGGATCTTCACGCTCTGGCCCTGTCTTAAAACCTGAGAGGAGTTGCTGCACCTGCCAAGAATTGCCATTTTAGATAACGCTCTGCTGTTATTTTTGGCTCACCTGGTATCTCATTACCTCACCTCAGCCTTCTCCCATTTTTAACTCTCACATTCTCCTTACTATGAGAACCTGAGAATACATTACTTCAATTCCCAATAAGAATTTATGTTCTTTGTTTATTGGATTTTCTGCCAAAATTTCTCCCAGAAATGGGACTCAAGATGAACTTTCACCCATCATGTGTATTTCCTTTCAACCTTTCCTTCATTGTTCCTTTGCATTCAGCCTTCTGTATCCACAGATTCTGCATCTGTGGATTCAACTATCCATGATTGAAAGTATTTTTTAACTCAAAACTTTGATTTTGCAATTTTATAGACAGGATTTAACTTACCATTCCATTGCACATAATGGTATGAATATCCACGAATGTTAGTATGTAGCCCTGAAATAAATCCACAATGGATATGTAAAAATCAAACATATTATTATTTTATGTACTATTTTGTCACTTCAAGAGCTCATGTCTATAGTCTCCCTTGCCCCTACTTCAGTTTCACAACCATGAGAGGTAGGCTGAATGAGAGTGAATAATAATAATAATTATTTATTTATTTATCGTGTCATCTGCAACCAGAACATTGTATTACATTTCTAGCAGAACAAAACAAACAAACAGATAAACATACACACACACACACACACAAATTTGGGGGGACATGAGAGAAGCCTCCTCGCAGGATTGCAAGACATCCGGGCATCCCCTGGGCAACGTCTTCGTAGATGGCTGATTCTCTCGATCCAGAAGCAACCAGAGACGACTTGCAGCATGCAAACAAGCAAGCGAAACAACCAACGGACCTTTTCAGGACCAACCATGACAATAATAATAATAATAATAATAATAATAATAATAATAATAATAATCTTTATTTATACCCCGCCACCATCTCCCCAATGGGGACTCGGGGCAGCTTACATGAGGCCAAGCACAAGCAACAAATAACAGCAGAATAAAACCGAAAATCCAAACAATAAACAACAATATCATAATTACATAAAACATATGAATACATAACGATATAAAATTACCATAAACACAATCACAGTGACAATGGGCAGGCTACATGTAATAATTAAAAGAGAAACTAACTAAAACTGATTAAATGAATGGCCCAGAGAAGCTGTAACTATTAACACTGCAATCTTAGGACTTCATCAGATGTGTTGCAGAAAGTGTGTGTGGGGTGGGGGGTGGGGTGTCATCTTCTTAGAAAGGCATATCATCCCTTTCCATTTTAAAAGAAATCATTTTGTTTTACAAATCCCATCAGATGCTTTATGTTCTCCAGCCTTTCTCCTGTTCTGTCTCATGTCCTGGACCATTACATGAGCAAATGCAGTCCCTTCCCACTCCAAATTCTTTTATTTTAATAAGGAAAAAACTTTGAAATGGTGAAAAACCAAAGTTAAAAAGTTGCTATAGTGCAATCTTGAAAGCCAAGATTATTATGGGGGAAGGAGAGCAGGGGGAATTGTAAACCCCTTTGCCATGATCTGTCCTTCCCATGCCTTCCTGCCCTAAGCCAGCACTACTTTGAACCTCTTTGCCATGATCTGTTCCCCTTTTGAATCTAACCATTTTTAACGCTCCTTTCAATGAAATCTAACACTAATTCCAGTGAAACCTTCCCTCCACTTTAAAAACTCCTTTCATAGTTAAAATAATAAATTTGGGCACCAATGTGGTATGAGCACATATAAAGGTGCATCAGGAATTCAGCAGATGATTTCTCCCCATCTCATGTCCCTCTCCGTTTTTCTAAAGTTCTACTATATTTCAAGAATGAAATACAATGAGTAACAACGAGAAGTAGTTTTACATTGTGTGATGGGTTCTGTGGCCCTGAAATGTCTTAGAAATGTGTTGAAATGGGGAAGGACTTGCATCTGATGAGGTCCCAAGAAACACACACATAAATATATATGTATACACATATACATATTGAGAAGGGGGGGGGAGGAAAGAAACAGGTATACACACATCTAGACAGAGGAGCATACATAGACATAGATAGAAATAGGTATAGAAACACACACACATACTAGAAAGAAAAAGAAACAGAGAAAGGGGGGATAGATATCTGAAGCTTGTTTCCAAAATGTACCAGCTTTACAGAAATTGAAAAAACATGCTTAGGTGATGCATTCTTTTGCTATAAAATGAAATTTTCCAAGCACTATACCAAAGTGAATTGATGCTTTTTGATAGCTTCGATCTGTACATACTGTGTTTTGCAAAAAATAAGACACTGTCTTATATTTATTTTTCCTCAAGAAGACACACTATGGCTTATATTCAAGGGATGTCTTATTTTTATTAAGTATGATACAACAATCTACCTTTATTCAAATATAGTTTAATCATCGTCTTCTTTGCCGTGAGGACACACAATACCGAAAGCAGAGTGTCCTGCTCCTCACTTCACTGAGGAGACTTTTACTTTCCATGTCTCTCTCTATGCCTCAGCTTGCAGCATGCACAGAACAATGGGACCTGACAGAGGAAGCCAACCTTGTTGATGGGGCTGCCCACATCTCTCTGGTCTCCTCCGAGATAGCAGCTGTCATGATGGGGCAAAGGAGAAGGGCTGCCCATCTTGTTTACCACTCCACGTCAGTACGCTGCATAGCCATGCCTATCACTATGTCTTATTTTCCAGGTTATGGCTTATATTGCACAAATGCTTAGAAATCCTCCTACGGCTTATTTTATGGGTATGTCTTATTTTGGGGGAAGCACGGTAATAGCCAACAATATGCTACCACTTATAACTCATTTTTTTTTCTTTTTGGATTTGGAATCTTTTGGAAACAAAGTCCACTCATAGAGGGGGAGGGGAGAGAGATGAGTATGCATACACCACACACATATACCTATATACACAGGTATCTAGATAGATAGATAGATAGATAGATAGATAGTCCATATATATCAGAGCTATACACATACCCATACACCCACACATCTAGATAGATATAGAGATAAATATCCACACACACACACATCCCTATATATACACACAAACCTCTATATAGCTAAATAGCTAGTGAAATAAGTATTTGTATATATGCACATAGATCTAGATAGAGATAACTATAGATATAGATAAGTATCCACACACACACACCTAGATAGGAAGATATAGAAATAAGTACTCATACACACACATGATAGATAGACATCCATACACACACACACATACCTAGAAAGGTAGACATAGAGATAATTATTCAAACACACACATGATAGATAAATAGATAGACATATATATCTATATTTATACTGTGTCTAGATGGATCGCTCCAGCAAAGGATCACCGCCTTGTCGGGGCGCTGGAGCTTGAGCACCTCAATGATGTCATGAGCGAAACCGTGAAGGGACACCCAAGACGGGACGGTTGTGGCAGAGAGGTCAGACCAAGCGTGATCCCTGGGGAAGGCAATGGCAAACCACTCCAGTATCCTTGCCAAGAAAACTAAATGGACCAGTACAACCAGAGATATGTCGGTATGCCATTGGAAGATGGGACTCCCAGGTCGCAAGATGGCCAAAATGCTACTGGGGAGGAGCAGAGGATAAGTTCAACTAGCCCCAGATGTGATGACGCAGCTAGCTCAAAGCCGAAAGGAAGGCTAGCGGCCGACGGTACTGGAGGTGAACGACGAATCCGATGCTCTAAAGATCAACACACCATAGGAACCTGGAATGTAAGATCTATGAGCCAGGGCAAATTGGATGTTGTTATTGGTGAGATGTCAAGACTAAAGATAGACATTCTGGGGGTCATCGAACTGAAATGGACTGGAATGGGCCACTTCACATCAGATGACCACCAGATCTACTACTGCGGACAAGAGGAACATCGAAGAAATGGAGTAGCCTTCATAATTAATAAGAAATTCGCTAAAGCGGTGCTTGGATACAACCCAAAAAATGACAGAATGATCTCAATTCGAGTGCAAGGAAAGCCTTTCAACATTACAGTGATCCAAATATACGCCCCAACCACAGCTGCTGAAGAAGCAGAAGTAGATCAGTTCTATGAGGATCTGCAGGACCTACTGGATAATACACCAAAAAGAGACATTATTTTCATTACAGGAGACTGGAATGCCAAGGTGGGAAGTCAAATGACAACTGGGATCACAGGCAAGCATGGTCCGGGAGAACAAAATGAAGCGGGACGCAGGCTGATAGAATTTTGCCAGGAAAACTCGCTGTGTATAACGAATACTCTCTTCCAACAACCTAAAAGACGGCTTTATACATGGACTTCACCAGACGGTCAACACCGAAATCAGATTGCCTACATCCTTTGCAGCCAAAGGTGGCGGACATCCATCCAGTCGGTGAAAACAAGACCTGGGGCTGACTGTAGCTCAGATCACGAACTTCTTATTGCCAAATTTAGAATCAAACTAAAGAGATCAGGGAAAATACACAGACCAGTTAGATATGATCTCACTAACATTCCTAGCGAATATACAGTGGAAGTGAAGAACAGATTTGAAGGACTAGATTTAGTAAACAGAGTCCCAGAAGAACTATGGACAGAAGTCGCGACATTGTTAAGGAGGCGGCAACAAAGTACGTTCCAAAGAAAAAGAAAACCAAGAAGGCAAAATGGTTGTCTGCTGAGACACTGGAAGTAGCCCAAGAAAGGAGGAAAGCAAAAGGAAACAGTGAAAAGGGGAGATATGCCCAGTTAAATGCGCAATTCCAGAGGTTAGCCAGAAGAGATAAGGAACTATTTTTAAATAAGCAATGCATGGAAGTGGAGGAAGACAACAGAATAGAAGGACAAGAGACCTCTTCCAGAAAATTAGAAACATTGGAGGTAAATTTCAGGCAAAAATTGGTATGATAAGAAACAAAGATGGCAGGGACCTAACAGAAGCTGAAGAGATCAAGAGAAGGTGGCGAGACTATACAGAAGATCTGTATAGGAAGGATAATAATATTGAGGATAGTGATGACGGTGTGGTGAATGAATTAGAACCAGACATCCTGAGGAGTGAAGTTGAATGGGCCTTAAGAAGCATTGCTAACAACAAGGCAGCAGGAGACGACGGGATCCCAGCTGAACTGTTTAAAATCTTAAAAGATGATGCTGTCAAGGTGATGCATGCCATATGCCAGCAAATATGGAAAACACAAGAATGGCCATCAGACTGGAAAAAATCAACTTATATCCCCATACCAAAAAAGGAAATGCGAAAGACTGCTCAAACTTCCGTACAGTGGCCCTTATTTCTCATGCCAGTAAGGTAATGCTCAAGATCCTGCAAGGAAGATTCCAGCAATACAAGGAGCGAGAGTTGCTAGATGTACAAGCTGGGTTTACAAAAGAAAGAGAAACCAAATTGCCAATATCCGCTGGATAATGGAGAAAGGCAGGGAGTTTCAGAAAAAAACCATCTATTTCTGTTTTATTCTAAAGCCTTTGACTGTGTGGATCATAATAAATTGTGGCAAGTTCTTGGTGGGATGGGCATCCCAAGCCACCTTGTCTCTCTCCTGAGGACTCTGTACAAGGACCAAGTAGCAACAGTCAGAACTGACCACGGAACAACAGACTGGTTTCCAGATTGGGAAAGGCGTACGGCAAGGCTGCATACTCTCACCCAACCTTTTTAACTTGTATGCAGAACACATCATGCGATGTGCGGGGCTGGATGAATGCAAAGCTGGGGAAAATTGCTGGAAGAAACATTAACACCTCAGATATGCAGATGACACCACTCTGATGGCCGAAAGCGAGGAGGAGCTGAGGAGCCTTCTAATCAAGGTGAAAGAAGAAAGCGCAAAAGCCGGGTTGCAGCTAAACGTCAAAAAAACCAAGATTATGGCAACAAGAATGATTGACAACTGGAAAATAGAGGGAGAACCGTGGAGGCCGTGACAGACTTTGTATTTCTAGGTGCAAAGATTACTGCAGATGCAGACTGTAGCCAGGAAATCAGAAGACGCTTACTTCTTGGGAGGAGAGCAATGTCCAGTCTCGATAAAATAGTGAAGAGTAGAGACATCAGACTGTCAACAAAGATCCGCCTAGTCAAAGCCATGGTATTCCCTGTAGTAACCTACGGATGTGAGAGCTGGACCTTAGGGAAGGCTGAGCGAAGGAAGATCGATGCTTTTGAACTGTGGTGTTGGAGGAAAGTGCTGAGAGTGCCTTGGACTGCGAGAAGATCCAACCAGTCCATCCTCCAGGAAATAAAGCCCGACTGCTCATTGGAGGGAAAGATACTAGAGACAAAGTTGAAGTACTTTTGCCACATCATGAGGAGACAGGAAAGCCTAGAGAAGACAATTATGCTGGGGAAAGTGGAAGGCAAAAGGAAGAGGGGCCGACCAAGGGCAAGATGGATGGATGGCATCCTTGAAGTGACTGGACTGACCTTGAGGGAGCTGGGGGTGGTAACGGCCGACAGGGATCTCTGGCGTAGGCTGGTCCATGAGGTCACGAAGAGTCGGAGACGACTGAACGAATGAACAAATTTATCTTAAGGTTGTTGTAAATCAAAAATGACACAGCAGCAGAAATTTATATGTGACAGACATCTATATCTATACTGTATTGAGAGAGAGAAGTATTCAAACACATATACAATAGACAGATAGATAAACTTGATACTGTATCTCAATAGAGAGATAAGTATTCAAACACACACACAATAGATAGACTTCTATATCAATACTGTATCTAGATAGGTAGAGAGAGAAGTATTCAAAAAAACACAATAGATAGATAGACAGACTTCTATATCTATACTGTATCTAGATAGAGAGACAGATAAGTATTCAAACACACACACAATGGATAGATAGACTTCTATATCTATATTGTATCTAGATAGATAGATAGATAGATAGATAGATAGATAGATAGATAGATAGATGTATTCAACCATACACACAATAGATAGATAGATCTAGAGAGAGAGAGAGAAATATTCAAGCACACACACAATGGATAGACTTCTATATCTATACTGTATCTAGATAGATAGTGAAAGAGAGAAGTATTCAAACACACACAATAGATAGATAGACTTCTATATCTATACTGTATCTAGATAGAGAGACAGATAAGTATTCAAACACACAATAGATATAGCCTATATCTGTACTGTATCTAGAGAGAGAGAGAGAAAGTATTCAAACGCACATATGATAGATAAACAGACACACACACACAGACAAAGCTAGACAGACTGCTAGAGTTAGGTATTCATAAACACACACACATACATCGGGTGCGGAGGGAGGTAAGGAAGGGTATCAGTACACATAGGCGCAGATAAGTTCAAGTCCGACTTGGGTTTGGCGGAGGCTAGGGAACTACATCTCCCAGAATTCACCGAAGGAAGGGCCTCCTCCCAGGCGGCGCATCCCAGTCTTCTCTTCCCCCCCCCCTTCCCGCCCGAGGGAGGCAGCAGGAGGAGGCGAAGGAGGGTCTCGCGTGGGAGAGGCGGCGGCGGCGGCGGCGGCGTTTGCCTGCGCTTCTGGAGCGGCGACTTTGGCGAGGGAGCCTCGCGCCGTGGATGGATGCGCCCAGGATGCGGTGGGGAGGAGGATGCCCGCCCGGAGGATGGGACAGGTACGGAGGGGGGTGTGCGTAGGGTGAGGGGGGGGGGGCTGAAAGAAGCGGCCAAGATGGGCAGGACCTTCTCGGGATGAGCGGAGAGCGCTGAGTCTGGGAGGGGAGAGTGTCACGCCATCTCACACACCTGCGGCTTTGGCATCTCTCCCAAAGTGGTGGTGGTGGTGGTGGTGGTGGTGGTGGTCTTCTTCTTCTTCTTCTTCTTCTTCTTCTTCTTCTTCTTCTTCTTCTTCTTCTTCTTCTTCTTCTTCTTCTTCTTCTTCTTCTTCTCCTCCTCCTCCTCCTCCTCCTCCTCCTCCTCCTCCTCCTCCTCCTCCTCTTCTTCTTCTTCTTCTTCTTCTTCTTCTTCTTCTTCTTCTTGTTCCTACAACTCCTATGATAATGAATTACTACAAGCGACACCCGTGCCATTCTCCCAACTTGGGGACTCCAGGCTGTTTGCAAAATAACACAAAATAGACACAAGTAAAAACTCATTCCACGCAAAATAAAAAAAGGAACAAGAAAGTTAAGATTAAAACATAGCCATTGAAAAGCAAGAGCCCACATGGACAGAGCAAGCCATTATTATTTAAAATAATAGAGCCCATTCTCAGTTTAACAGCATCCATGAGGATTGGTACATGCTGGATAAATGAGATTTCTGGTTGCATGAGAGTTACTATTTAAAATTAGCCTAATTAGTACCATACTGAGCCCCTGGTGGCACAATGGGTTAAACCGTTGTGCCGGTAGGACTGAAGGCCAACAGGTCAGAGGTTCGAATCCGGGGAGAGTGTGGATGAGCTCCCTCTGTCAGCTCCAGCTCCTCATGCGGGAACATGAGATTAAAATATAGCCATTTAAAAGCAATAGCCCAGATGGATAGAGCAACCCACAAGGATGGTAAAACATCATCATATCCAGTTGTCCCCTGGATAACGTCCTTGCAGATGGACAATTCTCTCACACCAGAAGCGACTTGCAGTTTCTCAAGTCACTCCTGACACAAAAAGGAAAAAAGGAAGAAGTGCCATACTATATCATACCATAAACTCTATATTGACTTGATATTGCTGTTGAAATGCAATAATTGAAAGCAAATTAAGATAAATTTAACTCCACGTAGCACAGTTTTACAGTTTTTACTCTATTTAAAAATAGCGTTTTAGTATAAAGCATTCTTTTTTTCAAGTTTGCTGTGAGTTTTACGGGCTTTTTGGCCATGTTCCAGAAGCATTGTCTCCTGACATTCCACCTGCATCTGTGGCAGGCATCCTGAGAGGTTGTGAGGACTGTTGAAAACTAGGAAAGTGGGGTTTGTACATCTGTGGAATGCCCAGGGTGGGAGGAAGAACTCTTGTCTGCTTGAGGTGTGTATGTTGCAATTGGCCACCTTGATTAGCACTGAAAAGCCTTGCAGCAACCAGTATTATCTGGCTACCAGTATTTCAAAAACTCTAAAATCAGGATAGTAAATAAAGCACAACACTCAGAAAATGGGGAATTCCAGACAGGAAATAATCAGGGCCAGCTAACATCTCCCAACAAAGGATCCTCCAAGGCAGCAACCAGCCGGGCTTTGAAGCTACAAGGCTATTAAATGCTAATCAAGGTGGCCAATTGCAACATTCATACTTGCCTCAAGTAGACTAGAGTTCTTTCTTCCACTCTGGACATTCCACAGATATATAAACCCCACTTGCCTAGTTTCCAACAGACCTCACAACCTCTGAAGATGCCTGCCATAGATGCAGGTGAAACATCAGGAGAGAATGCTTCTGGAACATGGCCATACAGCCTGGAAAACTCACAGCAACCCAGGAATTCCAGCCATGAAAGCTTTCAACAACATTATTTCTTCAGTTCTTTTTGCTGGTTGCTTGCATGTTCTGGTTGTTTAGGTTCCTGTTAACTGAAAGTCTATTGTAATTCCCAAAGGAGATGGATGTGTACACACACATAAATATTTGCATGTGGGTGTGTTCATACATGCATGCATCCACAGACACATATTTTGTAAAGTCTGCAGAGGATTGCGTCCCTCTCCCTCTTTAATGCACACGGTTTTTCTTTTTTTTTACTTCCAGAGTTTTCCCACATCTCTTTCCCCCTCTTTCTTCTAATTGCACCAGGAAGCTTAGCATCCATTTCTTGGAAGCATCCGTCTTCAAGGCATAATTTCATTGCGAATGCGATTTGTTTTTAATCAGGGCTGGAGATCGGCTTTCGGAGAGTGCTGCTTTCCCTTCTCCTGGGATTATCCGATTTCCACAGGAGAATAAGAGAGATCCTGGATTACTGAGCTACAAGGGATTTGCTGGCTTCTTCCTAATTAGACTCGACATTGGAATGAAAGGGCCGGGCAGTGTGCTCACTTTTTGAGTTTGTCCTTCCCAATGATTCCTGTAGTCTTTGCACTCTCAGAGCAGTGACTGTTCTGCCCTTGAGACCTGGAGCGGCAATCTCTATGATTTTCCCCTTCACTCACATAGCGATTTATTCCTCCTGTAATTGGATACTAGTGTCAAAGGTTGATTAGAATTCCTAATAGATTTTTAGATCAGCGAGCGGATTTCAGCTCTAAGTGCTTGATTAAAACAATTGCATTTGTCGTCTCCCCCTGCACTACAATCTCTGCCACTATGCGCACACGGAGAGACAAAATCGGAATAATGACTCCAGTCTGTATTATGTTTCTGCTACACTTCTCTTTGTCTAATGATGTCTCGGGTTGATGAAGCTATTTCTCCTCCCCTCCTTGCCCTTCCCGGCCCTCCTTTTTGCCTTCACAGATTGAAAAGAAATGCATGTCCAAAGGAATAGGTTTAATTGGGTCGAGGCTGGAAAAGAATCCTGGAAGGAAGAGTGACTGTATGGAGCATAGAAGATTTCTTCCCAGTGGCTGAGTAATGGTAAAGTTGTGAACAACCATCTGCTGGATTGTGGGCTTCTCAATGGCAAGTTGTGGTTTCTTGGAGTGGTGCCTCCATGGCACACGTGGATTTAGTGTACTTCACCATGGAGAACAGTCAGACAGATCGGTCCCACAGCGTAGACCCAAATTTCCACTCTCCCCCATGTTGGGGGCAACCCAGTGAAAGAGAAGGACAGATTAACCCACTAGCTATGGAAGCTGAATATAGTGATGGGCAGAGCAAAGCCACCAGGAGGGGTCTCCAAGAAGACATGGTTGGTCCTCCTCGATCTTCTGCTGGTGCATCATCGCTGATTTCGGAGGTTGAGGTGGTCTGTCATCCCAGCCTCCTACAAGAAAATAAAGCAAAGGATCAAAAGAGAGCCTGCTGCTGTGAATCAGAGACCTCCTTCACATGTGTGGATGAGAACGTCAACAATCTAGACCACAAGAGAAGTTCGGGCCACCAGAGTTGCTGCCATGACCCAGATCTTCATCCTGACCCTTGTGGAGAGATGAGCCTTGAGTGGGCCTACAACCCGGCCTCCTTGGCTTCTGAGGAAGATGATGAAGCCGGCTCAGAAGCTGCTGGTGGCAAGTCCATTGATTATGGATTTGTAAGCGCCATCATCTTCCTGGTTACTGGGATTTTGTTGGTGATCATTTCCTATGTGATTCCCCGGGATGTGACTGTGGACCCCAGCACAGTGGCAGCAAGGGAGATGGAGCGGCTAGAGAATGAGAGTGCCCGAATTGGGGCTCACCTGGACAGGTGTGTCATCGCCGGGCTCTGCCTCTTGACCCTGGGGGGCGTGGTGCTCTCCAGTTTGCTCATGATGTCAATGTGGAAAGGCGAACTCTATAGGAGTCACCGGTTCGCGGCTTCCAAAGAATCGGCCAGACTGTATGGCTCTTTCAATTTCCGGGTCAAATCCTCTCCGAATGATAATATGGAGCTGTCATTGGTTGAGGAGGATACACTTGCCATAGATAGTTAGGTGGGCCTTGATGCTCTGAGGTTGTGATAGAATGGGAGCTGGGGGATTTTTCCTCCTGTTTGGTAAAGCAAATTAAATTTAAAAGAGCTTGTAACATCTGTAAGAACTCTCTATTCCTAGTACATTAAAATGGAAAATGTGCATTATATAGGGCAAAATGACAAAAAGGGAGAGAATATAAAATTAATCTGTACTATCAAGTTTTAATTAAGACCTCAGTAAGGGCGCATCTACAATGTAGAATTAATACAGTTTGACACCACTTCAACTGCCATGACTCTATGCTATGAAATCCTAGGCTTTGTAGTTTGGCATGGCACTAGCACTCTTTGAAAGAGAAGACTAAAGAACTTGTAAAGCTACAATTCCTAGGATTCCATAGCAATGAGCCATGCCAGCTAAATTGGTATCAAATAGCATTAATTCTACAGTGCAGATGCACCATAACAGTGGCTCCCACTAAGCTTTTGGAAAACATTCAGTATGTGCCAGTGAAACTGGTGTTGTTCAGGACTAGTCAGTATATACAGTATATGTAGGCATCTGGTTTGATAGGCTCCTTCTTCATCAGTGGGGATAACTGAGAACTTGGAAAATGACATTTAAGAAAAATAAACATAATGGTATTCTGGATCCCAGAGCACTAGCTTGTTACAATTCAGGTATGGATGAGTGCCTTTTACCATATTTTTATAATTTGTCTTCTTAAAAGTCACTTTCCAAGTTGGCAGTAGTTAGACCAGAGCACAGAAACAGTAAAAGGGTTATTGGCACCCTTGGGCATCACTCAGTGGGGGGTTGAGACCTGCCACTTTAATTTTCCACCATACAGATTTCATGGTGATATGGGAACTTTATGGGGAATCTAAATCATGGCTCCCCACTGGGAACTTCCATTTCAATTTTCCACAACTCCTTGCAATTTCACTATATTGGGGCATTATGAGAAACTGGTGGTAGAGCCAGTGGAACAGGATGGGGACCATATTCAATGAGACACTCACTAGGCTAAAGTTGCTCTGGATAGTACTGAAGGGTAATGGAAGCTGCTAAGACAGGATTAATTGGTAACTTGCATGTGAGAATCAGTAATCTCCAACTGATGACGGAGCAGTGCAGTGCAGTGCAGTGCTTTCCAATGGAAGGAAGGTGTCATATCTGCTACAGGTTGCCTTGTATGTAAATAATCAAGGGCAAAGATTTTCCGTGAAGTTGATTATTTATTTATTATTTATTCTATTAAACTATTTATATCCTGTCCCATCTTCTTGGATCTCAGGGTGGTGTAGAAGTACAATCAATTGAAACTGCTTAAAATAACTCAACGTTTAAAGCAATCAAATAGAATGAGAGCCAATGTGGTGCAATAGCATTCTAGAGACCAGGGTTTGAATTCCTGCTATGTCATGGAACCCCACTGGGCTTTTTTCCCCATGTCAGGACAAACTTGAGAAACTGCAAGTCGCTTCTGGTTTGAGAGAATTGGCCGTTTGCAAGGACGTTGCCCAGGGGACGCCTGGATGTTTTTTTGATGTTTTACCATCCTTGTGGGAGGCTCCTCTCATGTTCCCACATGGGGAGATGGAGCTGACAAAAGGAGCTCATCTGTGTTCTCCCCAGATTTGAACCTCTGACCTGTTGGTCTTCAGGGTGTAACCCACTGCGCCACCAGGGGCTCCACCCCACTGGGTAAATCACAGACTTTGGGCAAATCACATTCTCTTTGCCTCGGAGGAAAACAAAGGCAAATCTTGCTGAAAAAAATCTTGTGACAGGTTTGCATTAGGGTTGTCATAGGTTAGAGATTATTTGAAGATACACAAAAATAGAACAACAAAAAACTATAGTAAACAAAGAATTTTATACAATTTATTGAAAGAGTTTTGAACCAGGTAGTTAGGCACTTTTAGGGGGGGTGGGGGGTGGGGTTGATTTGACCCCAAAAGCATTAATAAAAAGCCATATTTTCACTTGGTGTTGAAATGAAGTCAAAGTTGACTTCCCGTGGACCTCTAAAGGAAGGGCATTCCCCAAACTGGATGCCAGCCCCAAGAAAGTCTATGCAAATTTGTACTCCAGAAGCAGCATAACACTTGAGCTGATGTGTGAGATTGTTCTTTCCTGGGGGTGTCGTTCGCATATAACAAATGATGAGCCTGCCTTTCCGCTTGACCCAATGTGCTTAGTATTGCATCTTATGCCTCAAGAGAACTTATCTGCCTTCAAGTCATTTCTGACTTTTGGCCACTCAAGGCAAAGCTATTGCAGAGTTTTTATGGCAAGATTTGTTCAGAGGGGGTTTGCCTTTGCCTTCCTCGGAGGCTGGGAGAGTGTGATGTGCCTAAGGTCACCCCGTGGGTTTCCATGGCCAAGAGGGGATCTGAATGCTCATCTCTAGAGTCCTAATCAAATGCAGAAATCTGTATACTATGCTGGCACTGCCTCAAAGGAATTATTATGGTCTGATACTGCTCATATCTAGGCAGAGTTGTGCTAGCATTCCTGTTGTATGGTAAATATTCCCTGTGGCATTTCACAAAGGTCTAACTGAAGCTCCATTATTTGTCATTTTCCAGCTCTTCATATAAACACCAGTAATACTCTGTCACTCTAAAAAAAAAAAACCCATGAACTCTTAGAAAAATAATGGCAAATTATTAGGTTGATCATGTGACAGTTTCTTAAGGGGCACCATTAAACACCAGGATCAAATATCAGGATTGGAATCTAAGAACTATAAATGTAGGAGTGTTAAATTTGAGTGACTTTTGTAGTTCCATTTTTCCAGGTTGTATTTTTTCTTCCTTTATACCCTCATTAATCTGTGTTGAATTTTGAACTTTTTAAAGGTACACTAATGGATTCATTGAATACATTTATAGCCTACGCTGTCCTTAAAGGCTTTGAGAGGTCAAAGAACATGATACAAGGGCTCTAGGACAGTTGGCTTGGGAAATGAACACTGCCACCTGAACTATTATTCTTAGTTAAATTTGGAGGAAGACACCATCTTTTTGGCTACAAGGGCTACATATCATGTGAAAAGCCAAGGGGCAGCAGGTATGTCCCAAATACACACTCCATGAACTCAAGCCATTGAGATTGCATATTTGGAAGAAAGAAGATGGATGCTCTTATTTAACCCTAGGAGATAGGAGAAGAACTTATCAATCATTCTGGTTCACTTGATGGAGAGCAGAGAACAGGGTGTGCTGGTTTTTGGCTTTACAATGGGAGCCAAGTGTTCTTTCAGATAGGGACAGGCAAAACAAGCTCTTTGTGACTTCTATGGTCAGTGGATGGTGCTGGGTTGCCATTTCATTTTTTTCCTAGAGTGTTTTGGGTAGTTTTCCAGTGGTCCTTGGTCCTCAAGTTCTAGTGTTGGCCTTCAATTCATGTACTTCCTTAGCCTCAGGAGTACTACACCATGACTGGAATTCTCCATTGCCACAAATTGTAGATATCTGCTGGAAGTAGGGTTGCCAGATTGAAAACTTGAAGAGGCCCCTGCACTTTTCCCAATTACGTAGAAGACAGAATTATAGAAGGAGTTTCCTGTTACATGGTTGCATGACAAGCAGCACCTGGGGCCCCATCTATACAGTCATGTAAAATCCAGATTATCTACTTTGAACTGGATTATATGGCAGTGTAGACTCATATAATCCAGTTCAAAGCAGATGATCTGGATTTTGTATAGATGAGGCCTAGAATGCCTTCTATATAAGCATGAAAGGTGCCATCTCCAGTTTTTACTCTGAAAACAATACCAAAGTGACGCCAAGTTAGAGGTATACAGCCCCATATGGAATAGCAACATCACACACAACATAGGAATGGGCATGTTCTAATACCAAGAATCATAGAATTGGAAGACACTACAAGGGTCATCTTGTCCAGCCTCCATGCAGAAACGCACAATCAAAGCAGCTGTCAAAACTGCACAATCCACCATTATGTGCATGCACACATGCTCTGTGATTCAAAATGCATAATGCACTTGTGCCGCTATCATCTGAGCACAACTATTGTGCAATGTCAAAATAATTCCAGAGCACAACATATGCCTGTCTGTCTGTTTCTTTACAAACCATTCCCTAGCTTCTCTTGACAGCACCTCTTCAAGATACTGAACACTGGGTTTTGGCATTTCTCTGGAACATATGAGTCCCAGTTGCCCTGAGCATACTTTTGAGAAGATAACCCAGAGCTCAGAAGTGTTACTTTTTCTGAGACTACAGTCCCTCAAATATCTCAGAATGGCCACTGGGAAATTTGGGGAAATGTAGCCTTAAAAGGTAGCTTTTCTGAGCTCAGTCACTCATGAACTGAAGTTTTAAGTTATTTCTGGACACTAAAACCTCAGGCAAGGAAGGAAGACGTGCAGCTTTATGGAGAACTTGCACTCTGTCAGACATGCACGACTGTGAAACAGCCATTGCATTGGGAACCCCAAATGAAATCTACATTAAATACACAATGTGAAGCCAAACTTCATTTTTACTCTTGAGGAAACCTGTAGGGAGTGAGGGGAAAACTTATTTTGGTGCATTTGGAAATGGTTTTTTTCCCTATATGCAGGTGTGAGAAGAATTTAAAGGGAAATATACTAAGAATTGGGAAGATTTAAGATTTCCTTACCCATTCATAATGCAAAAAAGGAATGATAATTATCTACCTATCTCAAGGGACATGTAAAGTAATTCTAATTATCCCTCAAAATATCCTGAACAGATCTTTTGAAGATTGCTTGCTATGCAAATAGGTCTTATCTTTCTGATTATTTGCATGTTCTACATGGAAGGTAGGCACTATATCAGTGGTTCCCAACCTTTTTTTTGTTTGTTTGTTTTTTTGGCCAGGGATCATTTTGGCCAGGGACCACTCTCCAACATCAGTACCAAAAGTTTTTGGCCAACTTTAAATTCAGTTTGGGGTACTGATTCTGAACATTGCATTGGATAAACAACATCAGCTCTAGTTTCGGATACACAACACATGCCATGCAGTAGTCACCATCTTCTTGCCCACAGAAAACCATATTTAATAAGCTTTGACATTATAAGAGGGTTTTACAAGAACCGTCTCTCATTGCAATGGTGTAGTAATGGTGAGGCCTCAGACCATATTTTAGTTCTTGTGGACCACTGGTGGTCCACAGACCACAGGTTGGGAACCACTTCTCTATATACTCCCCCAGTTCTTTACTTCATCCTCAACATTTTGGTAGCAGGACTTGACATATCTATTTCCTCACCAGACTAAGGGTGCAGCTACTCTAGAGAATTAATGCAGTTTGACACCACTCGAATTGCCATGGCTCAGTGTTATAAAATCCTGGAAGATGTAGTTTGGCAAGGCATCAAACTCTTTGGCAGAAAAGGCTAAATACCTTTAAAAGCCAACTCACAGGATCCCATAGCACTGAGCCATGGAATTTAAAGTGGCTTCAGTCTGCCTTTATTTTCCAGTGCAGATGCAGCCATTGAATTCCATACAATTTGCCATCTGGTCTTTCCTTAACGCTTATGTTATAGAATTCCAGATTCCCAATAGTTAAGAGTGTCATGCTAGAGTGGAGTTTTAATGTATTTTAATATTTGATGGTTTTAATGATGCTTAATTGCCGTTTAATTTTTGTATTTATGTTTTAATGCATTTACATTGTTTTAAATTTGCATTGTTTATATTTATTGTTAGTTGCCTTGAGTCCCTATTTCAGGAGAAAGGTTGGATCAAAATAAAGTAAATAAAAATAAAAATAAAAAGGTTGTGGCTTCAGAAGCCTGCATCCAAATGTCTTGTCTGCCACAAAACTTATGTTGCATCAGTCATTTTCTCTCACCCTAACTTTCCTCACAAGGTTATGGCAAAGTCAAATAGGGGAACATATACTCTGAAATCTCCAAAGGAAACTCAAGTTGCCTCCTCAAACTTATTTATTAACTATGTCTCTACCAATCTTTCCACCAATAAGCATATGAAGCTCGCTTGCATATTTGATCCTCATAACAACTCTATGTAGTAGAGCAGGCTGAGAGATAGAGTGACTACTTGCAAGTTTCATAGTTAAGTTATGGCAAAGTTGATTTTCCAAGATGCTCCCATGAATCCATAGCATCAAGCTATGACAGTTAAAGTGGTTTCACACTGCATTAATTCTGCAGTGTAGATGCACCCTAAGTTTTCTTCATCTTCAGTATGACATGGCTTTCAAATAATATGCTTTTTGTACAAGCACCAAGATTATAAAAGAGC